AGGCCACAAAAACCTTGTCTTGAAAAAACCAAAAACAAAGAAAACAAAAACCCATATAGAACAAAACAACTGCAACCTTTGGAACCAGTTGTGCTGGCACACATCTTTAATAACAGCATTCTGGGGGGGGGGGGGGAGAAGATATATGATGATGTTGGAGTTCCAGGCCAGCATTGTTTACATTGCAAGTTCCAGGCCAGTTACGACTACAGTGTGAGACTCCATTCCCAAATAAAAAACAAACTGTAGACATTGTAATGATCTAATCTGTGGAGTCACTAGCAGCCAAGCCTGACAACCTGAGTTCAATCCTCAATCCACCAATATGGTGGAAGGAGAAAACAAGAATTCCAAAAGTCCCTCTGCCCTTCACACAAATGATATGTGCATGAGGTTCTCCAATTCCCAGGAATCTGAAACAAAGTCTACCTGGCATCTCTCTCTTTTGTGTTTGTGCCTGGTACCCCTAAAGAGGGCATTAAATAGGATCCCTTGGACTTGAATAGTTGTGAGCCACTATATGGGTTCTGGAAATCAAATCCTGGTCCTTTGCAAAAGCCACCTTTCAGCCTTGTTTGGTTCCTATTACAGGTAAAGTTTTCACCATTTTGGCATATATTATGTTATTCCTTTTAAAGGTCAAACGGCATCTTGTTGTGTCTACCTGGATTCTGTTTATCCATTGATTGATAAAAATTTTCCTTTTCAGCTAGTATAAATACTACGAACATAGGTGTAGTTCCCCAAAAGACTAAGTCCATGATTTTAAATCTTGATACATTTAGTAGTAGAATTGTTGGTCAAACTAATTTATTACTTGCATGTTTCTGAAAATTGTTCAATTCCTAAGAATCTAAATAAGCCAGGTGAAAAACAGAACATTCACACAGACCCTTCTTGCAGTTTTAGCATTGATGGAAAACCAAATCAATCAGTATAATACAACATTAACAACATGGTTACCTCACAAGAGTCAAACTAAATCATTTTTCTACTCTGCTTTCTCAATTATCTACTCATTGAAATTCTAGTTCATTTAGTAATGACAGCTGGGCAAAAAACAGAACTAGAGATCAGACTTTGATATACTTACAAATTGCCTGAACAATCATTGTGTCTACTTTATCAGCACTGAATTTCAATCTGTATCGAGACAGGCTGGGGAGATGAAGAGAAATAAATTAGATTGCATTTTAACAAATCACATCTCCCCCCTATTCCCTTGATCTGTGTGTTCAGGTGAGTGGGTACCTAAGCCTAAGTTCAGGGTAGAGGTCCACCTTGTTTTTGAGCCAGGGTCTCTCACTGGACTGGAATATGCAGAGTAGCTTAGTAGGCTAGCAAATGAGCTTCAGGGACCTGCCTGGGATTTTAGTGATACTAAGCCCAGGATTTTTATGTGGATTCTGGGGGACATTTATTTATAGCCTTCAAATGCATGCTGTAGGTACTTCCTTTACATTGTAGGACATTTTCAGTATCTCTAAGTCTTACCTGTGGGCCAATCCAAGACACATGGCTGCCATCTCACGGGGTTCTACCCCAGGAATCAAGCCATCCATTTGTGATCGAATTCCTCTCATAAGTTCATTAACAACAGGACTATGGATACAGCTGAGATTCAATTTTTCCTACAGGAACATTTATATTAAATGAAAAAAAGTTTTCCTGAAAAATTGGTTGGTTTTCAGGGTGACTTTGAAGAACTCACTAATATAGGACATACTGATTTCAAACTCAAAGTAACAATTAGGAGGCCTTAGCCTCCTGAAATTATAAGCATGTGCTACCACACTGAACTGTAAAATGTGATTTTTTAAAATAGTTTGATTGGCTGGAAAGATGGCTGCTCTTGGAGAGGACCTGAGTTCAATTCCCCACACCCACACAGTGGTTCGCATCTGCCTGTAACTTCTGTCCCAGAGGATTTCGTGTTCTTTTCTGACCTCCACAGGGACCTGGCATACACTTACATGGCAAAGAGACATACACAAAGACAAAATACTTGTACACTAAAAATGAATGGAAAAATGTTTAAATTATGTGAGGGTCATCATACAATGCTAACAGACTCTATGAGCAACAGGGTTAGAGCTTATTTTATCCCTTTTTTGTTCATCTTTATTTTCTACAATGTATAGGGAATAACTTATTTCTGCAACTTTATTATGTATTATGCTGACCATGAGAATCATGACAACATACTGCAGAGGTCAGGCACTGTAGCACTTACAGGCACAGGAGAACTATGGCTCTTTTACCTTTATCACCCCTCCTAGTTTAGCGTCAGCCACAGCCAGAGGTTCATGGGCTTCTTTTACTATTTTCTTCAGAAGTTTCTTCAGTTGCTTATTGATTTTGCCTTCCATCAGAGCTGTGAATGCTTTTCAGGAAAACAGAAAAATATGTATTATAACTGAGAGCTCCTCATATAAATTTTAAAGCAAATATATCCTTTTAAAAGGTTCAAATGTTTCTTTTAAAATGGAAATGACCCATGTAGCCAAACAGTGTTGGTGTATGCCTTTCACCCTAGCCCTTGGGAGGCAGAGGCAGGTGCACCTCTGAGTTCTAGGCCAGCCTGATCTACAAAGCAGATGCCAGGACAGTTGCACATAAAAACCTGTCTTGAAATACCACAAACACCAATGTGTATGTTTTATAAAACATTCATAAATGCCAGGCATGGTGGTGTAATTTGGTCCCAGCATTTCAGAGGCAGAGAAGCAGGAGGATCAGAGTTAAACTTGTGATCCTCCTTTAGCCTTCCAAGTGCTGTGATCTAGGAGTGTCCCTAACCCTAACCCTGGCTATTTCATTCCACCTTCTAATGCTGTATAAACTGGTTCCAACAGACTTCTTCCTTTTATTCTTTCCCTACTTATATTTTTTAGTCCTTTGGGGGTGGGGATGGTATTCGCTTAGCACACAAAAAGCCTTAGGCCTGATCCTCAGCAACACATATTTTAAAATAAAAAATTTGAACTTCATGTTTATTGTTTAAGCTTCAATGTTTGTTGTTATTTTACCTACATGTGTATCTATGCACTACTTCCATTTCTGGTGAATGCAGAGGCCAGAAGGCAGCACCAGATTCCCTGCAACTGGGATTACAAACACCTGTAAGGTGCCATGTGAGTGCTGGGCTACTCTGGAAGAGCTGAGTTCTTTGAGTACTCTCCAGCCTGTTTCTATTTTGTAAACGTATATAACATCCAATTTTAATTAACCTAGGACAAAAACCCTTCCCTTAAATATGTATTTATCAAGGTACAAAAATCCCTATACTAGACTTAACTCTAGATTCTATTCCAGGTTATCATCTGCAAATAGTTACCATTTCATCAAAACACACACACACACACACAAAAAAAAAAAAAAAAAAAAAAACAAACAAAAAACAAAAACTCATATATTTTAAGAAATAACTTCAGAAGCTGGGTGTGGTGCTCCATGCCTTTAATCACAGCACTCAGGAGAAAGAAGTCAATTTCTTGTGAGTTTGGGGCCAGCCTGGTCTACACAAAAACCCTGCCTTGGGGGAGGGACAATGAAACAGCTTCAGGGGGCTGGAGAGATGACTCAGTGGTTCAATTCCCAGCTAACACATGGCAGCTTACAACCCTCTGCAACTGTAACACCATGGGATCCAACTTTGGTGTGCAGACAAAACATCTATATGCAAAACATTTACATACAACAAATAAAGCTTTAAAAAAAGAAAAGTAACTTCAAACAAAAACCAGGCCAGAAAGACAACTAAATGGGCCAAAGCTTTTGCCAACAAGATGAGCGCCAAGTTTGACCCACCTCCCAGGATCTATTCTAGTGAAGAGAACTAGCTCACTAGTTGCCCAATGTTAGAGGAATAAATAACTCTATTAAATGCCATAAAAGAACTTCTGATATATTAATATCATAGCCCACTAGACTCTAAAGCTACAAAAATTTAAATAGTATAACTCTGATCTACAGTTACTTAGCTTTGGCCAAACTGCTTTATAGGACCAGGGAGACAGTTCAGTAGGTAAAATGCTTGCCATTCAACCCTGCATAACTAAATTAAGTTTCCGGATTCCATGTAAGGAGAAGTGATGTCACAAAACTGTTCTCTCATTTTCATGTATGTATCATGGCATGTGTACCTGCTCCTCCATACAAACTCTCATGGGACCTGGGATATTGCTATTTGGAGTGCTGGGTCTGATCTCCACTACTTAGAAGGTAGAAGAAGCAGAAGACCAGAAATTCATGGTCATCCTCAGTTGTAAGGCTATCTATCTTAGGCTACATACACCTTGTCTTAAACTAAACAAAAAATTGTCTTATGAGGCACAGATAATTAACTACTGTGGAAAAACCCCACCTGATTTTTATCAGATAAGGCATTTTAGAGGTTTTCATGATGGCATTTCTGACATAGTTCACTTATTTTCCTCACTTCCTTCCTCCAAAAATGATCATTATAAACTTTTTGTGTTTTACCATTTATAACATAACATTTTTCTCATAGGACTGTTTTAAAGATTTTGATCAAGTCATCAGCACAAGACAAAAATCAAGCAAACAACAAAACCCCAATAAACAAAAGTCTTGTCTAGTTCTAAACCATTCTTTTTTTATAGTCCTTTGTTCTGAAATTATATCAAACAATCAGCTGATTAGTGACACAACATGCCTGTTTACCCATCACGAGGCCAATTTTATATATTTTAAAAAATTCTACTTCCCCTCAGTTTTGAATATTGGTATGCTTTTTTACACTCTGGAGAGCTTTATTAGCACGTGTTATTTCAGGAAGCTATTCTCAACTATCCCCTAAATTAATTAATACAAGCATTAGACTGTGCACATGACCACATTACCTTGGTCCCTTGTAGAACTGCTTTTACTGAACTGTGCTTCAGCATTAGGCTATTGGTTTCCACAGGGAGATCAATTTAAGCACTTGTCATCTCTCATCACATGGGGGAAACCAGCCCTATGGTGAAAAAAGCTAACTCAATGTTGTCTCAGTGGTAGTGACGAATGGGTTAGATCACTTAAAATTCAGTTCCAATAAGGATGCATCATTGACAACATTGAGGAAGATTAACTCAGACAACTGAAGAAAACAACCTTTTAATAAGAAAAAGAAACTGCCAAATTTTTAAAGTAGAAAAAGGGAAGAAAATAATACTCTGTCCTCTTACTTTACCTGCTAATGCTTCTGCTGTATCCTGAAATTTCTCAAAATGTTTTAGCTTTACTCTGGAATTGAAAGAGAACAAATACATTGTTGGAACACAGTGATTCTGCAAAGCTATACAGCCATGAAAGAAGCTGGGTGTCTCTTTAGCACACACTAGCAAAATAAACTTGGGAGATGTGGCGACACATGTCTAATAGAAGCCACAAAAGTTCAAAGTAAGGCCAGTGCAGGTAACTACTTAAACCTTGTTTCAACTTATTTAAAAAAAATAAATAAAAATAAAAGAGCAGGGTGAGATTGCATATGCCTTTAATCCCAGCACTTGGGAGGCAAGAGGATCTCTCTGAGTTCAAGGCCAGTATAGTCCACATATTAAGCTCCAGGCCAGCCAGAACTACAAAGAAAAAACAAACACAAAAGTTGGAAATTTAGTTCCATGTTAAGGCATCTCCCAGTGTATCCAAGGGCCAGGGTTCTATCGTCAACATCACCAACCACCAAATAGACAAACAAAACACCAACTACAAGTGAAAAATAGCCCATTGTCTACTAGTGGTGGGAGCATGCCTTTGATCCATCCCAGTGCTCTGGAGGCAGACAGAGTCAGCTTTGAATATAAGGCCAGCCTGATCTATAGAGTGAGTTCTAGACAGCCAGAGCTTTGTGAGACCCTGCCTCCCACGCCCCCCAAAAAGAAAAAAGCATATTGTCAGACTTGCTTTCCGTTATTGTCTACACAGTTTATATTCATAATATTTTCTGTACAAAGAAATGCATTAATTAATCCATTGTTGTCTCAGTGGTAGTGACGAATTTTTGTTAAATCACTTAGACTCAGTTCCAAAAGGAATACATCATTGACAACAATGAATAAAGATTAACCAAGCAAAACAGATGCCTTTTACAAAGAAAAAATTAGTCTTCTATGTGCCTAAAAAGTATTATGAATAGAGGTTTTCTTACCTGGGAAGGTAAATGCTGGTATAACCCATCAAACACACACTTAAAAGCACAAAGATGTAAGAACAACAAAGTACTGCTTGGGTGATGGTGATGCTCGCCTTTAAGCCCAACTCTCAGAAAGCAGAGGCTTGTGGATCTCTGTGAGTTTGAGGCCAGCCTGGTCTACAAGATCTAGTTCCAGGACAGCTAGGATTATTTATACAGAGAAGCCCCGTTAAAAAGAAGCAAACAAACAAAAAACAAAACAAAACCCACCCCAAAAAAGAAAGTCCTGATCTTATTTTTTTTTTGTCCTATTCTAACCTGGTTTCTGCATGTATATAATATGGCATCTACATCTCAGAACTTGTCTAAATGTTCAAGGATCCAGACAGTAAATCACTAATATTTAATAGCCAATTAATCTGAAGTTTCATTATCCTCAGTGTATCATGAACATCTCTCAATTCATTCAATAATGTTATTGCTGATGAAACACCACAAATGATGACTATATTTCATTTTGTCCTTTCTCTGGGTTTATCATTCTTTTCTGCATTTATTAGCAGTACCAGATGAATGACCCTCCTAATCCGCAAGTACCAATAGGATCATAGTTTCTTCTTAGGACCACATCACCTACTAGGCTATTACACAAGGTGATTCAAGGTGAAATAGCAACCCTGACTCTACCTTAAGTAAAAACCTATTGTCTTTTCTAATCCATTAGTTACCATTGTTGTATTTTACTTGTCAAAAGACCTTGAAGAAACATGACATGCTTTTCAAGGACTTACAACCTAATTAAGTTATTACACTCTAGAGCTAGGAACAAATCAAGTTAGAAAGTGTTTGAAATTATGTCATAAAAACTAAAAGTCTTCCATGGTTTGTACGATTACTGCCCCACCCCTACCCTGTTCCTTTTGATTTTTTTCTGAGTTAGGGTTCCTCTGTAATAGTTAGGGCTATCCTGGAATTCTCTTTGTAGGCCAGGTTGGCCTTGGACTAACAGAGATCAGTCTGCCTTTGGCTCCCCAGTAATGGGATCAAAGGCAAGTGCCACCACTATCCCACTACAATTAGTGCATATATATATATATGATATATCATATCTATCTATATATATATATATATCATGCCTTCAAATGTCTCATAAAACATTAATCTTGGGGCACTGACCACTGTAGTCTACAATACAAAACTGTCTATTTTCTAAAAACCAATAAGCTGAAAAATTACATCCAAAAGGGAGATACCCACAAACTAGTATAAATGCCTAAATCCCTAGATTTAGTATTACTTACATTTTATTTGCTTTTTCTGGAGTTTCAAATTCTTTCCACAAACTATCAACCTCTTGAAGTTTCTTCTCATTCAGAACCTGCAATAAACCAGTTTTCATTAAATGGCAGTTTAGACATAACAGTTACACTCTTCAAGTTATAATCATTCATGACAAATATGGGCAGAGAAATATGCTTCTCTTACTGAAATGAGCTAGTTCTTACAAAGTATAAGTTATGGCCAAATGAAACCCAGTTACAATCTTTGAGAACCCTTCCTGTATTTTTTTTTTTTTTGTTTGTTCCTAAACTCTTAAACATACTTTTGTATTGATACACGTTAAGAACAGATTTCTATAAATGGAGTTAAATAAAATAGGTATACTTTGGGGGCTGGAGAGATGGCGCAGAGGTTAAGGACACTGGCTGGTCTTCCAGAGATCCTGAGTTCAATTCCCAGTAACCACATGGTGGCTCAAAACCGTCTGTAATAAGATTTGATGCCCTCTTCTAGCCTGAGGGCATACATAATAAATAAATCTTAAAAAAAAAAAAAGAGGTATATTTTGGCACTAGGAAAATATCTCAGTGGTAATTTGCACTACTTATCTAGGACTCAAGTCAGGTTCCCAGCTCCTATATATGGTAAATCATTAAAATCCCAGTCATGACTACAGCTCCAGGGGTATTTATTGGGTGACTGTCCTCCTCAGGTACCTGCACTCAACATGCAAACACACAAATATACACATACATAAAATTAAATCCTTGCTTGACCTCTCCAGTGATGGATTATAGGCTATGTGCTACCACACCCAATTTATGCTTTGTGCATGTTAGGCAAGCATTCTTATCAACTAAGCTAAAATCTCTGACCCGCTTTAGAGACTTTATTTAGGTTCACATAAAATCAAGAGTAAATAAATTAAAGATTTTTGTTTCAACACCAATATTCTATATGATGAAGCAACTCCAAGAACAGGATAAGGCAAATCTACCATTCCCTTTTATCAAACACCCCTGAAACTGGGATGTTTTACAATTAATGACATGTTTATCTGTCATTGTAAAAGAGCTTGCTAACCACGGCATAAGACAATATACAGTTATGTATAATTTTAGGGCAATATAGCTGGTAATTATCAGACCTGTATCACAGAACAGTCACACATTGCCGAGTGGTAGTGGTGCACGCCTTTAACCCCAGCATTGGGGAGACAGAGGCAGGTGGATCTCTGTTAAGTTTAAGGCCAGATTGGTCTACAGAGCTACACAGAGAAACCTTCTGTCTCGAAAAACCAAAACAAACAATCAAAAAAAGTAACACAGTAACACCCATAACCTCATAGACATTTTCCATGAAAAGAAAGCATTTCAATTATTATGAAACTTTTTGGTTAAGGATTTGCTGTTATTTAAATTTAGTCCCAGGACTGAAGATGTCAGCTCAGTAGATAAGAGTGCTTACCTAGCAAGCCCTTGGTTGGCTTCCCAGAACTACAGATGTGGGGAACATGTGTGTAATCTCAGCATCGTTAAGGTGAAGAAAGAGAAGGCCAAAGTTGGGTTATCCTAGACTACACTGCACTCGCACGCACACACACACACACTTAAATGCAATCTCTAGCTGGCAGGTGGTACATACCTTTAATCCCAAGCTTAGGAGACAGAGGCAGGTAGATGAATCGAGGCCAGCCTAGTCTACAGAATGAGTTCCAGGACAGGCAGTGCTACACAGAGAAACTTCACACACACACACACACACACACACACACACACACACACACACACACAGTAATCTCTATACACTTTTAATCTTTTAAAAATTTCATTCATCCATTCTTTTATTTTGGTTTTTTGAGAAAAGGTTTCTTTGTATAGCCTTGGGTGTCCTAGAAATAGCACTGTAGACCAGGTTGGCCTCAAACTCAGAGATTGAGATTAATGGCATGTGTGTGTGTGTTTTGCCTGGACACCACTTGTCAGGAGTTGGATCCCCTGGAACTGGAGTTAGAGGATTGTGAGCTGCTATATAGGTGCTGGAAATTAACCCAAATCCCCTGAAATTACAGCCAGAGCCCCTAATGGCTGAACCATAACTTAATCCTAAATTTAATTTCTTTACAGCTTAACTATGAGATATTTCCAGAACTTGAAAAGTTGGTTGAAATCAACCAAACTTGAAAAACTGAAGGAGTCAAACAACTGGAGATAACTGCAAAGCTGTTAACGTTAAAATTGTAAGCTACCACTTGTACTATATATCATCCACCAGTTAGATTACAGCTACTGTATTTTGTATGTGATCAAATTTTTTCAAGACAGGGTTTCTCTGTGTAACAGCCCTGGCTGTCCTGGATCTGGCTTTGTAGACCACACTGGCCTTTGAACTCAGCCTCCTGAGTGCTAGGCTTAAAGAAGTCCACCACCACAGCACAAAAAACTCAAGATCCAAAGATGTTTCACTACATTCCATGAACAGTAAAATATAGTTTTTAATTAAAGCAGATTCTACACAAGTCTCATTTCTTACATTGTTCAGTCACTGTAACTATATCCAATCCTCACCAACTATCAAGAAAATAGAGAATTCTTGAGAAGTTCACATTTTCTTCTAGTTAAGTACTTGGAGATAACATTTGGATTAACAGAATTGCCATATTTGAA